AGGTTAACAGAGCGGTCACCAGAACATTGCCAAGCACCAAAGCATGGGGAAATGGAGTGTGTAGAATATTGTTTACTGGCTCTTGAAGCTTCAGCCTAGAAGTGCAACATCATCTCAACTCACATGTTATTGATCCTAACGAGTCATATTTAATTCCATGGGAGGGAAATGCAGTACTACCATGTTCTCAGAAGGAGACCTAGAAATATATGGTAACCAGCACTACTGAGAACTCAGACCTGGGATTTGCAGATGGAGCCATGAAATTCCCCTTAACAGGTGGAACTGAACAGGTCATGATTTTCCCTGTAAGCAGAGCAGCAATGGACCCTCCATTGTTGTTTGTATGTGCTTAGGAACTTTTTAGGGGGAAGCAAGGAATCTGGTTGCTCAGCAAATGGAAAATGTAGAGAAAAAAATATAATAATGCTTGAAATTTTAACCCATGAAATAAATTTGTGTGAATCCATCTATGAAACCCAGCACCACCACCCCACCTCAACTACTAAAGAATTGAGTGCTTCAATTTGCCATAATGAAACTATAGAACCAGCCTAGGTGTCCATCAGTGGATGAATGGCTGAAGAAAATGTGGTATATATATATATATATACAATGGAGTTTTACTCAGCCATAAATAAAGAAGAATGAAATTGTGTTATTTGCAAGAAAATAGGTGGAACTTGAGAACATTATACTAAGCAAAATAAGCCAAACTCAGAAAGTCAAATGTCTGGGGGCTGGGGATGTGGCTCAAGCGGTAGCGTGCTCGCCTGGCATGCGTGCGGCCCGGGTTCAATCCTCAGCACCACATACAAACAAAGATGTTGTGTCCGCCGAAAACTAAAAAATAAATATTAAAATTCTCTCTCTCTCTCTCTTTAAAAAAAAAGAAAGTCAAAGGTTGCATATTTTCTGTCAAATGTGGAAGCTAGAGAGGAAAAAGGAAAGGAAAGGTTGTGGGGGCATTCATGAAAATTGAAGGGATATCAGTAGAGGAAAGGGATGGGATCAGGGGAAATAATGGGGATTGATACTGGCCAAATTATATTGCTATATTGTGTGCATCTAAAAATATGTCACAATAAGTTCCACCATTACATAAAATTGTAATGCACCAATAAAAAATATGAGAAAAAAAAAGAATTGAGTGCTTAAGATTCAGAAAAAAAAAAAAAGAATTGAGTGCTTCTGAATCATAAAATCCAGACTTTCCCCCCAAACATAAACATCCAGATGCTGATGGATCACTGTTTTACTCTAAGAGGTGAGCCAGCACCTGCCCCAGATAGTTTCTAGTACTTTGTCACTTGGGGTATAGGTAGGACTCCTGTACCTTGTCCTCAAGACTCAGAACATTGTTTCCAGTCTAAAAACAAGGACAGTGATACTTCCTAAGGTCATCTGTGACCTTATGGAAAAGAAAGAACTATGATGACCATGACCTTGGAGGAACAAGAAAATGCTACCTACTAATTTGCTGAGAAATCTCAGTTTCCCATTTGGGACCACTCCCCACTACTCTCTTGGGGGCTACAGAGGCACCTAAGGCAGAATGGGTGTGCTGGGAAAGGTCAAGGGAGATGAAGCTGCCCGCCCAGAACCTGTGCAGTGTTCTTTTCTCCACCATCACAGCAAGACTGAGAGCCAAAAAGCAGTTTGTTTGGGAAAAGATGAAAAGATTGAGTCACAAAGTGAAATTCTGTCCAACTAAGGGTAGGACCCAGGGCCCAGTCTGTGCCTGGTTCTGTTTTCCACTTGTGGGCAAGCATACACTGACAGCTGGAGGGACCCTGCTTAAGACTTGAAAGATGTCCCTCCTTAGAGAAAATTCTCAGGACAGGATCTTGGAGCTGGGGCTATGGGGAAGATGGGTATGGGCATCCAGCTTAAAAACATAAATGTGATTCATTCAACAGATGTTTCATTGTTTTGACCCACCAAACTTTATTGATTAGCAGGGAGTCCAAGACCATGATGGAAACCGAGAGATATACAGACACATCTAAGAATGAACCCCCACCTCACCAAACACAAAAATGAGTGGGGAATATGACTCACTACCAAACAAGTCAGGCTCAGCAAGACTCATAAAAAACAGAAAGTTTGGTAGCAGCCCAAAGGAGGAAAGGACCAATTCCCTGCCAAGCTTTCTTGGTGGACTTACAGCCTAATTCTTGGCCTCGTATGACAGGAGCTAGGTAGTACAGCCTCCCTTGCGATTTTCTTTTCTCTACAGCAGATTGTCTTGCTGAGAGAAGAAGGGACATGAGAATTTTCTTAGAATTTCACTGGCAGTAATGTCCTTGGGAATGGCACTAATCAAGAATTCACAATTCAGAAGTGTGATAGAACAGAAAATAAATATTTGGGTTTTGTCCTCAGTTGCTGGCACATGGTTAAAACCCTTGGAATCTCTGCAGTGATAAGAGTGTCTTTTGTATGCTAATAAGATGACAGACATTGTCAGCAAGTCCAAGGTATGATTATAGGGTTGGAACTTTTCAGCTCTATCACAATTTCTGGGGTGGGAAGAGTGGCTGGAGATTGAGTTCAAGCTCCAATAGAGAAGATTTAATCAGCCACACCTACCTAATGAAACCTCCATAGAAATCCCTACGTGACAGGATTTGGAGAGTTTCCAGATTGGTGAACACATCCAGGTGCTGTGGGGAAGGTACAACAGAAAAGAACATGGAAGCTCCACCCCATCACCCATACCTTATGCATAACTTCCATTTTGCTGTCCCTAAATCAAATGTTTTATAATAAACTGGCAATATAATAAAGTGGTTTCTCAAGTCCTGTGAGTCATTCTGCTACCAAACCCAGATTTGGAGCCTCATTCCATGGAAAAATCAAATGTATGAGAGATGAGTACTGGGGAGAAAGAAAGGCTTTAATGAGTGACCAAGGGATGGAGAAGAAGGAGTTTTGCTCATAAATCAGTTTCTCAATTTTAGGGCGTTGAGAGGTTACAAAGGATAGGAATAATGAATGAGAGAGAGAAGCTAATAAAGGGGTAGAATATTTGTGTCTAATTCCTATTCTGAGCATAGGAGGAGATCTTCCATGATCTGGTGTTTCTGGTCATAGAGGCTGGTAAGTATCTTTAACCTTAAAGAGAATGGAAAGAGAGAACTAGGCAAATCTAGGTTAAAATTAACCCTTTATTATAGTTTTGAACAAAATGCATCTCAATGTTTAATAGGTCTACAATCAGAGCTGAGAAGAATCTGACATGAAAGTTAAGGAATCAAAGGAGACGTACACAATATTAAGACAAAGAAGCAAAGTCTTGCCTGTTCCAACCACCTATGGGACATCTGTAGGCCCAAGCGAAGTTCTCAGTTAAAGTGGTTCTCAGGTCCCTGAAGAGTAACCTAGGCAACTGTTATCATCAGAACCCACACATCAGAGGTGTTATCTACAGGAAAACTAGTGGGGGACTAATAATGTATTTCCCACCTGTTACCTCCAAAATTAGTAATTTTTAAGTCAAGTAAGAGCAAGTGTTGCTAGAGGGTTTACTTAGGTTTTTCCTCAGTAACAATACTAGCAAATTAATCCAACTGGCCCCGGGGGTTATGGGACCCTATCATGTCAGAAGTGTGGGTAGCCTGGGGACCCAATACTTATTACTAGTGTCTGAAGTGAGGGCAGTCTTGTGGGACTGAAACCTAAACCTGTAGTCTGTGCTAATAGGACTTTGCACATGCTAGACATAGTGTCAACACTGAATTGAATTGAATTGTTAGACTTCCAGACTGTGTCAAAGAAATGGAGAATTAGTTGATGTGATGAAGCAGACTCACAGGGTGTGGCCTGAATTTGTTGTGGCTTTTTCTTGCCATTTGCAGGCTGTTCAGGTCCAGTTTTCAGGAATGGAGAAGCTGAATGGAATTCTCTGCCCCCATCCTTTGAATCCACTCCCCCAGATGAACTAAGGGCTGCACTCTCAGCCTGATTCTAGTCACCATATCATTCCTTCTTCCCCAACTTCTCCCCCATATCGACAGATATCTCTGATCCCTTGCCTCTATTTAGTCCTGTAGCCATATTAGTCTTCTGGGGGCTAATCTAGTCCCTCATTTTTTCCTTCTAAAAATTTAACCCAAAGTTGATAACCCTTCCTTGCCACAGTCTGGCTGGGCACAATTCACGAGCCACTTATCAAGCAGAAACGAACTTTATTTTTAGAACACACAGCGGCACCACAGGAGTTCTTCAGGAATTCCCTCAGAGCCCAACTGCCACCACCCGGCTTCCCAGGAGCCTCTCAACCCCCCACTCCTCCTGGCTGGGTTGCGTGGGCGGAGCCAAAAGAGTCCCCCAATGAGCAGCTCCGTGGTCTGAAAGGGCAGGGAAACAGCCCAATGAGCATCACTGCAGAGGAGCCAATCAGCTGGAAGTTTGCTGGGGCCGCTGTGAGCCAATCAGCTGAAAGTTTGCTGGGGCCCCTTGGCTGTGGCTCTCAACACTTCCTTCCCAGGAAGATACTATCTTAAGGTATCAGATTGTCTTAGAAAATAATAAGTCAGGCAAGGCTTGGGGATAAAGCTCAATGGAAGGGTGCTTGTCTAGCATGTGCAAAGCCCTAAGTTGATCCCCACCACAGCACTGGAAAGGAGAGAGAGAAAGGGAGAAAGGAAAGGAAAAGAAAGAAAAAATCTCAGAAAGGACCATTGGATGGCAGTCGGACCACAAAACAGGAATCAGAACTGGAAAACCGTAAGGGACAAGGCTGCTACACTTTTGAATTTCCACCTCCACTCCCAACCCAAGTCTTCAGGGGCCCATTTCTCAACATATCTCAATGTGTATCTCCTCATTCTTCTTGTCACAGTGGCTTTCTCTACTTCTCTGACCATACAATGGAAGAAGGTCCTAGGATATACAATTCTTCAGCTCAAGTCACCACCAGAGGATGAACAGAACCACAGAATTCTCATGTCAAAATCCCAAAGAAAAAAATAATGATCAAATGACTGATGGCCTATGTGGCTGTGTTGAAGGAGCAGATCTTAGAGAAGGAGGGCGCTGCCTGATGAATAACCCAAAACTCAACAGCAACTGTGTTATAGCACTTAAGAGCTTACCAGAATTCTGCATGGTCAACTTACAGAGAACCTAAAATGGCCACCTGTATGAGGTCTGCAGCAAACAGGGCATGCAGAACCTGTCCAATTCCTCAGTCAATGATTTTTAGTAGTTGGAGCAACTTCCAGAAGCAGCTGCAAATGTAAGGTGGCCATCTGCAAACACCTGGGCTGGCACTGGAAGTAGATAAACAGGAAATACACCAGGAAGCCACTGAGCAGGAACAGGAAGACATATAGGAACTCCATCTGGGGATTGTCGATGATGGGCACCAGGACCAGGCCGAGAGAAGCCAGGAGCATGATGACAGGGATGAAAGTGGGAACCTGCAATGGGCAGAAAGTGGGCATTTGGCCCCTGAGAACTGAGTGATGAAGGGGGGCCTGGAAGGTGATGTGTGTTCTCTGTCTCTGTCCCTCCTGCCTGCCTTCCTGTTGCTCCCACAGGCCACTAGCTCTTCTTCCCCAGTCCCTGCCACAACACCACAACTGGGCTAGCAGGGTAACTGTGAGGCTGCAAGGAACATTTTACGTAGCAAAGGCTTGAGGTGCAGAATGAACCTTTCTGTGCTATGTGAAACCAAATGTGTACATATATCCTCTGCATTTGTGTCCCAGTGTTCTCCCTCAGGGTCCTCCAGAGGAGAAATGGGTCCCTAGCAGAATCAATGCCTTGGTATCTAGTTGGTCCTCCCTCTGTTCCCCCTCCAAAATTCTCTACCAAATAATGATAGTGACAACCTCTTATATTCTTCCTCTGGGCCTTAATGAAATTGTGGCCCAAAGGTCTACCTTATGTGGGAGCCAAGGGTCAGAAAAGCCCTATGTCTATTTCCAATGACTACCTTGTAAGTTCGGGGAAGGTTCTTCATCTTAATCCGCATGTATAGGAGACAACTGAAAGTGGTTCCATAGGTGATCCAGGATAGGATGCTGCAAGGAAAAGTCTAGATCAGGATTTCCCTGATGGGCTCTGACTGGATCAGGAAGAAATGTTCAAAGAGAAGGAGTGTTTGTATTTTTAGAAAGTACAGCCTGGTGGGAATCTCAAAAAAACCCATGCTCTCTGCAGGGTCCAGCACATTCATAGGAGAGTCCCCCTCCCAACCAACCTTTCCCCTAGAGTTAGTGACATTCTCTGTCACATTCCCCAATTTCCACCTGAACAGTGCCCCCAATACTCACTATGTGTTTGATTTTATTCTCACCATATAACGGCTTTATTCTTTCTCATGGGGAAAAGATAAAAGCAAAAAAAGCCTGTCTGTTACTTAGTGTTCTTAAGAGAGTCACATCAAGTTCTGTGTGTTCTGTTCCAGATTAATTAAAAAGCAAAGAATGAGAACATGTAATGCCTGAAAAATTACTGAAAACTCTCTGTGTACCCAGACATTATCGTTGCCTGCTGGTTACGTGTCTGCCTACTGACTATGCTTCAAATGAGTTCATGAAATTACAGGTGGATATCACAACAGTTTATGGCTTCTGTCCCGGGGAAAATAGTAAGGTCAGTGTAGGTCTGCCCTGAGTTCGATAGAAGTTATGTTGGTCCAGAATGCAGACCAGATTATAGGAGGAAAATCATGCCAAGTCCAAGGGCTACAAGTAATGTTAATGATGCCCAAATATGCCTTAATATTATCTTAATATCAGAGTAAAGGAACAAGTAAAAAAGAAAAAATGACAAAGCACGAGCCTTTGTCTGTCTCTGGATGAAACATTCAACTTATTGAATTTTGGGAGAATGAACAAGAGAAGAGAGAGCCATATTTAATTTTGGAAACTGGATAAAAGGGGCTGAAATATATGAGCACAGAAGGGTCCCTGAGCCTTGTGTACGTGTGCTTGTTTATACCCATGCATGTGTGTGAGTGTGTACACATGGAACTCAAGAAGTCTGCATGCAGTTGTTACATACATGTGCATGTGTGTAAGTAGATGCAGATAGGGGCTCCAGGAAAGCACATACACGTTTCTATATCTGTGCACACATGTTAGTATACACACATAGGGGAATACAGATACCCAACCTGGGAGAACAGTTTCACTTGCCTCATTAAGTTCACAATGATGCTGAAGTTTCCTGGGATGACCAAGACCAAAGCCACGGCCATGGTGAACATCAGGGCTGGAGCTGGTGTGAGGCGACGCACATGAACCATGGATAGAAATCCAGGCTGGGAAGCAGAGTCAGGTGTCAGGCAGGCCCCAGGAGAGCCACAGTGGGTGTCCCTTTCCCAGACAAGCATGCTCTGGACACTGGTGTGCCTAACCTAACAGCCACTGATCATTATGGCTTCCCAGGTTTGGTCTCTGTGATTTACTTGGAGTGACCAGGTACAAGGAGGAAAATGTAGAGCAGGTATGGATGGATCATGGGAGGAATCTTAGATTATTTTGAAAGACTGGAATACTGCCTATCAAATATACAGTCTTTCTTTCTCCATCTCTGCAGGAGGAATACAGTTCCCCATCCATTGATGTGAGCCAGGCCATATCACTGGCTTTTGGCCAATAAAATGTGACCAGGTCTAAGTATATTTGCACAGTTTGTCTCAGTCTCTTGAATCCCGGACACTTGCTCTAGGCCAAAAAAAAAAAAAAAAATGCTCCAGAAGCCACTACTGCTTTGGCCTGCATCCCTGAGATAAAAGCAGACTTGGTCCAGTGCAAGAAGAGTGACACATGAGCAACAACCAAATGTCTTAGCCAGCCCCTGGGATTTAAGGTCATCTGCTATTCAATACTATTATTAGAATGGAAGCTAACACAGAGACAAAAAAACTCTGGGGGAAAGGTCATTATATGCCCTCTGTGCCTCATCCTGTGGCCTCTGTACCTTTGTCATACACAAACATCCTTATCACTGACACCCTTCACCCTGCACTACCAGGACCGTGATAGCCCTGCACCTGGAAGTAAAGGGATTGAATCAAAGCTGACTGGTATGCAATTCTGAGTCCTGCTCTCAAAAGAAAAGAAGGCCAAGTTTACTGGGGAGTCCTGGTTTGGGCCAAATGTTAAGCTCCAGGCAGGAGAGAGTTGGCAGACCTTCCAGCAGCCCTCCTGCAGCACCCATCACCTTGCCTGGTCCCAGACCCATCTCTCACCATGTGGCCTTCTCTTGCAGCCACATAGCACACACGGCTGCCACTGAAGAATATCCCATTGACAGAACCAAATGTTGAGAGTGCAACAGCCAAAGGCACCATCCAGGCCCAGGACCCCAGAACTTGGTTCCTAGGACAACAGAGGGGAACTCTGTCAGCAACCTGGAAGAAGGTCACAAAGCCCCATGCAGAAATGAAGCAAACAGTATGTTCAAAGGCAAGTTCAAATACACAACAAGTGCCAAACTTCCTCCATCCTGGAACCTCTGTGGGGTGTCCAAGGGACACAGCAAGTGACTCACTTACCCCCAGCTCACAGCCACAGCGTCAGAGGAGAGGATCTCACTGGATGACAGCACTAGCAGGTAACTGATGTTGACCAGGACATACAGACTAGTGACCAGAGGGATGGCGATCATCAATGCACACACCAGGTTCTGCTGCAGAGTCAGGAAGGGGAGGGCATATTGTTAGCCAGTGAGGTCTTTCTGGACACCAGTGCTGAGCTTGTCCGACTGTAGGGCATTGTGCCAGGTCCTGAGGGATGAGAGTCAGATGCAGCTCCTCCATGAGCCCACAATCCCCATGGGACAGGCACACATTTAGGAAGATAGGCTGGGGGCCTCATGAGGCACTGGGCAAAGATCCTAGTCAGGCATGGTGGTACAGAGGGGTTGCTGGGGTCGGGGAGAGACAAAAGCATCACCAAAGCGTCCAAAATAAGGAGGACCTTATGCTGGGTTCTACTTGCATAGAAGAGATTCAAGCAGGTGGAAAGGAGAGAGAATCTAGGCAGGGCAACCATGGTAGCCAACTACAGAGAAGAAGACAGGAAAGTTAAAGATCCTAGTCAGGCATGGTGATACACGCCCATAATCCTACAGACTCAGGAGACTGAGGCAGAAGGATCACAAGTTCAACGCCGGCCTCAGAAACTTAGCGAAGCCCTAAGCAACTTAGTGAGACCCTGTCTCAAAAAGGGCTGGGGATGTGGCTCAGCAGTTAAGCACCCCTGGGTTTGATCCTGGGTTTAAAAAAAAAAAAAAAAAAAAGATCTCATGAGTCTGTTTTGCACTAGATAGAATCCTCCCCTAATTAAGCATCTGCCACTGATTAGCATATCTTCTCCTCTTCAGCTTTTTTTTTTTTTTTTTTTAACAAAAAAGGCAATTTCTAGACCTCTCTGCCAAGGTTGAGGTCAGCCAGCAGAAAACCTTGAAGGTAGGGATGGAAGAGTGAGCCTGAGGACATTGAGGATGGAGCTATCATCTTAGGACCAATTTCAGGTCCCCAAGGCTGGCCTCAGTAATGAAACTCTCCTCACTCCTCCTTGTTTTTCCTTAGGACACAACATGCCCTCCCCTTTCTGGCCTCCAGATTCATTTTCATATTGCTTTTATGGAACTATGTAGGCATAAAACACATTGCACCTTTGAGGCAATGGATCTTCATATGGTGCAGGTCCTTTCTCAGGTCCCTTACAGCTCTAAAACCTGGGAATCTGGGCATAAAAATAAATTGCCCCAACTACAGCATGAGCATTCTAGTCAATTCTTATCACCCCAGTGCTGCAACCTGATTGTGCCTAAGTCTAGACAAGGCCACCTGTAGCAAAGGTGATCCAGGATTGTCCCTCCCCTTGTGGGAGGCCCTCAACAAGGTGAGCACCCAGCATGTATGACTTACCCTCACACATAGTAAGAGGCAAGGAGCCTGGTATGCTTTTACACTTGACCTCTCCCTGGGCAGTCTTCCAACAAGGAATGAACTGTGATAATGTCAGAGCCCTGAGGTGTAGCCTGGATAGGATTCTGGCCAAGATATCACAAGAGCAGTCAGATCTCCAGATTTCATGCTCAGGTACCTTAATTCTTCATACAAATCCCTGGTAATCTGAACCTAATGCTATCTTATTGGGGAGAAAAAGTATGAAACTAACAAAGATTCTCCTAATATGTGCTTTAGAGGGCCAAGTTAGAGTTAGAGCAGAATCTCAAATGCTAGCATTCAGAAGACCTGCTTAGATTTTTGTTTTTAAAAACATTCATCAAAAATGTTCTGAGCCAGGCACAGAGGCACACGCCTGTAATCCCAACAGCTCTGGAGACTGAGACAGAATTGTGAGTTTAAAGCCAGCTTCAACAACATCAAGGCACTAAGCAACCCAGTGACACCCTGTCTCTAAATAAAATACAAAATAGGGCTCGGGATGTGGCTCAGTGGTCGAGTGCCCCCAGTAAAAAAAAAAAAAAAGAAGAAGAAGAAGAAGAAGAAGAAAGAAATGCTCTGATATAGCAGGGATCAGCAGACTATGACTATGGACCAAATCCAGCCTGCCATATGGTTTTGTTAATAAAGTTTTGTTTGAATACAGCCAAATTCCTTTGTTTTCCTGTGGCTGTTTCCATACTACCACAACAGGATTCAGTAGTTGTGACAGAAACTGTACGACCCACAGAGTCTAAGATCTCAAATTTCTGATTCTAATCCCTACTGTAAGCGTGGGAGCTTGTCTTACCCATCCTTAGGCCCTGTACCATTTCCCCAGCTCAGCTCTGAGCCCAAGACCTGGATTCAGAGAAAGGCTACTATCGTTATGATATGAAGGAGTCAACCCATGAATGCCTCTGTTCTGAAGCCCTCTGCCCATCTCAGAGCCAGCCTGACCACATGCTATCCGTTCCCCTAAGAGCTACAACTGTACAGCTGTTTAAGGCACTCAGAGCCCAAGCTTTCTCCATGGGTCATGGCAACACTGATACCTGAGAGCCATCTGAGGAGGCAAAACAGCTAAAATGGCTTCATTTTACAGGCAAAGAACTGAAGTACAAGAAATTATATGCAAAAATAAAACTTAAGTCCAAGGTTTTTCTCTGTTTCCCCAACACACACACACACTCTCTCTCCCCTTGGACTTGGGTCTCCAAGATCTTCTTCTCCCAAACTTCCCTCAAGAGAGCCTTGCCAAGACTCAGAAAGTTGCAGTGGCCTCTGAGCCAGCCCAGTGGACCCAGGGCGAAAGCTTTGAAGTTCTCATTCTGTGAGAATTTAAAACCCCTTCAAGGGAAAAAGAAACCAAACAAATAGCATCCTCAGAAAATAGATGTAGAACAAAAACTTAACATCCACAGTACCCAAACATCCAAATGCTCCGAGTCCTGAGGTGCCCTGAAGGACTAATCAGTTCCAGGTTCATGAGTGGTGTGAGCAGGCAGGACTGGCTTGTTCTCTTGTCCCAAAATATGCTATAGCCAGTAGTGTTTCCCAGGTTTCAGATACTATGAATTATCTGCTACAATGTGCTGGAAAGAACAATTCAGGAAATATTGACCATCAAGCATGACCTCTTCCTAGCAATCTGAAGTCAAAATAATGTCCCCTCTAAATCTCAGTTTTCCCATGTGAAAAATGGGTGATAATGCCTACCTCACACGTAGGAAGATGAGACCCTGGGTATCATAAAGTTCTCTGCTTTCTTGAGAGGTCGTTATTTAGACAGTGAATTGAGCATTCAAGTCTCAGAAGTGCAGGATGGAAACCCTTATTTCTGGCTGGGTTATTTGTGAATTTGGACACCCCAAATTTAAATAATCAGAACTTAAGTAGTTGGAGCTGTCAATTCAGAGATTTACCCTCAGAGTGGCAACATGGACTCACCTGTGGATTCTTAAGTTCCTCCAACATATAGTTGATGCTATTCCAGCCTTCAAAGGACCACAGTCCCTGGTAGAAAGCCATGCCAATGCGCCCTGCCTGCTGTGTTGTGTTGTGGAAGGCAAACAGAAGGAATTCTGTACGGGCATGGCCCTGGACTAGCACCACAACCCCACCCACCACAATGACCAGCAATGAGAACACTTTGGCAGCTGTGCATACATTCGTCAGCATGGTGGCCAGCCGGGAGCTCCAGAAGTTGACCAGCATCAGCAGCAGAATGCAAGAGGCAGCCACACTCTTGACTACAGCCTGGGGAACTGAGGCGCAGCCAGGGTAAAAGGGAGCCAGTGCATACTCAGCAAAACTGAGAGAGATGGCAGCCATGGAGGCTGGTCTGCCCACAAGCACAAATATATAGACGTCCAGGAAGGCTGGCAAGGAGCCAAATGTCCGCAAGATGTAGACATACTCTCCCCCAGATTCAGGAACCAGGGCACTTAGTTCAGCATAGCACAGGGCACCCAGCATTGCCAGGAGACCACAGAGTGCCCAGATCACAAGACTGGCCCCAGGGCTGCCCGTGTAGACCAAGACCCCCTGTGGAGACATGAAGATGCCAGAGCCAATCATACAGCCAGCAACCAGGGACACAGCGCTCCACAGACCCATCTCCCTCCTCAGCAGAAGGCCCCATGCTCCACTGCCCAATTCTTGCCCTGCCACCTGAACACTGCCATTTCTTTCCTTACGTCTCTCCATCTCAGAACTTCAACAGACACTACCACCGTAGTGATGAGAGGCACTCACGTTGGTGAGAGGCCACAGCTCTGGTACTTATTTATAGGCTTCCTGAAGGAGTTAATGATTATAGCACTGGAGAGCATCTGAGCCAGCGTTCAAAGAGCCAGGGTGTGGTTTAGAAGGAGCTGATCCAGGCAGCACCTGTCTGACTGGGACCCCCCCAGACAGGCAGTCTGCAGGAGCTGCTTGCCAAACAGTCCAGCAGAGCAGAAGAAGTCAAGGAAGGAGAGGTTTTAATGGAAACCTCTGTTGCTGGCTGAGGGTGTAGCTCAGTGGTAGAGCACTTGCCTAGCTAGCATGGGGAAGAGCCTGGGTTCCATCCCTCGTACTTCAAAAAGGAAAAGACATAAAAGAAATCTGTTTCCAGTTCCACAGCAATACGTGGTGAACCACTCTCAGAGAACTGCTCTGTACCCAAGAGCAGCTGAACAGCTGCACATCAATCGGGAGCCTAAGACATTCTTAGGACAGTTTTCTCAACCAATTTATCAGGAAACATAGTTTCCAATACAGACACCCTATAATGAAAACAGCATGAACCTTTCCTTAAAAAAGAACCAAGATGGCCAAAGGAGAGGATCAAGATAGTCCAGGACAGAGCTTGTCCCTAGCAAGAAGGGAGGAAATGTTTAAGGTGCAGGTCCTGGGATGAGATGGTTGAATTCAAATTCTGGGTCTAGGACCGCACAGTTGTGTGACCTTGGACAAGATCTCTGAACTCCACCTTACTCACCTGTCAAATTATATTAATAATAATTCCTACCACATGAAATTGCTCTAAGGATTATAACATGTCCCATTTGAAGTAACTAAAATTGTATAAAATGCCTAGTGAGCTGTACTTCAGTTAGCCATTACTAAGAGTTTTATTAGTGCATCTAGTGGGGGGAGGGTTGATTAGAAGACTAGAGAACTTATATATTTATATATATATAATATTAAATTATATATTTAACACTAAAATTTATTAATCTAAAAATAACGTTCTTTTCAGGTTAGAGTATGTAACTATTGTATCGATCAACTTTTTATTTTTAAAATATTAGATAATAAACCAGGTGTGGTGGCACATGCCTATAATCCCAGTGACTTAGGAGCCTGAGGCAGAAGGATCACATGTTTGAGGCCAGCCTCAGCAATTTAGCAAGGTCCTGTTTCAAAATAAAATCTAAAAAGGGATAGGGATGTAGCTCAGTGGTAAAGCACCCCTTGATTCAATCCCCAGTACCAAAATAATAATAATAATAAATAGACTATTTACTAATATTGTGATAGAAGGGCCACTGGAACTCACCATCACTGTGAGAGTAGAGATATGACATCCAAAGAAGCACAGAGATACTTGCAGTCTTCTGACAGGTTGGTCTAGCTCAGGCCAGCCACATGGACTACTTGGATCTCATGCACATATACAATTATTAAAGCTCTTCACAGATGCAAGGGGCGTCACTGCCACAGTTCCTGGGATGCCCATCCTCACCTCCCACCTGTTCCAGTGAAGATTATGGACATAGGTCCTCCAGGAAATGTGAAGCCATTTTGTCTGGAAAATCCCTGGAGAGGGAGCCCCCCAGTATTCCTGCTCAGCTGGAAGAAGAAGAGGAAAAATAAGTAGATGCGAGAAAAGCAGGTAGAAAAACTGGAAAGAAAGAAGATTAAAAGAGAGAGAGAGGGAGAGTCCTGAAGGCATAAGAAAGAGCCTTCCTAGCAGTATCCACTGGTGAGATTTAACCTACTATTATATAACTAAGACATCAACTTTTCAAACTCTCCTTCTTCCAGGGCTGTTGTTGGCAGATGTTGTGGAAGTTAGACAATTGCAGAATTTGAGAACAGTCCACAAGATTATCCACACCTCTGACACCAGTTGCAAGTTTAGGTGACCCAAGACCATACTTGGGTTCCATAACATACTAAAGGACCTACAGAACCCACTGAAAGCTTTCATACACATGGTTATGGCCTATTACACCTAGGGAATGTGGGTTAAAATTACCCAAGGGAGTAAGTACATAGAGCAGATTCCAGGAGGGTTCCAAACAGATCTTCCACTTGTCCTCTCCCACAGAGTCAGTGTGATCCGCTCAGAAGCAATGTGTGACAACACGTACATGATTTTCCAGCTTATAGGAGCCTGGGTGTCCAGAGTCTTTATTGAAGTTGAGCTTCTATCATTAGGCATGGTTGATTGCGCACATGGCTAATCTCAGTCTCCAGTCCCCAAGAAGGGACTTTATGACCCAGATCCTCACCGCAAATCACATCATTGCTATTTGGTGACCCAAGATCCCCAGGCAAATAAAGACACTTCTGTCAAGAATGACATTTCAAAGTCTTTAGAGATTACCTTCCAGAAGCTGAAAGCAAGTTCCAGACCTCTCTTTGGGCCAGGTTAAATTCTTTTTTATTTATTTATTTTTTGTTGTAGTTGAACACAATACCTTTATTTCACTTATTTATTTTTATGTGATGCTGAGGATCAAACCCAGGTTCTCGCATGTGCAAGGTGAACACTCTACCTGCTGAGCCACAACCCCAGCCCCAGGTTAAATTCTTTACTGTACAGGTATAGAAGAACCTGTGGCCTAAAGAACATTATGAGAACATAGCAAAGATTTTCATTGTTGTTTTGGGGATGGAACCCAGGGCTTCATGCATGCTAAGCATATTCTCTACCACTGATCTACACCCCCAGCTCCTAAAAATTATTGTAATCACTCATTTTGTCATGCAGTATAATTAAAGAGGAAGGTTCAAAATACCAGGCTTGGAGAGAAGAAGGTCTTCTCTCCCCAACTTTGTGACATACTTTGTCATCTCAGTATGGAACTTCACGTACCCATATTCCCAGAGATGATCAAAGTGGAATCACATAACAGGGTCACATCTTCTTAGTACTCAAAGCTGACTGAGTCCCCTGAAACCTCACCTAAAAATAGAACCTGAAGCATGTAAATCTTTACTTTAAGGAGATGGGTCCTCCCTATGAAGCCCAGAGTGCCCCCAAACTTCTGACCTCAAGGAATCCTTGGGGAAGTAAGAATTTCTGAATCACTGGGATTATAGTGGCATGCCACTGTGCCTACCTATTGGGGGCCCTCCTTTATACAAGATTGGCTACAATAGGAAACTCCAAAAAGTCTGCCACTCCCTGAAAACAACAAAGTGTGTGTATGTGTGTGTGTGTGTGAGAGAGAGAGAGAGAGAGAGAGAGAGATATCCTGGGAATTGAACCCAGAGATGGTGAAATTGGACCACCAGCTGGTAAATAAAGATGGTTCCATCTCCTGCTTTTTAAGATTGACTTGGTGATTTATTGCAATCTTACCATAACATTTTCCTTCTTCAAAGCCTCTGTGGTGGCTTTACAGACATGAGCCACACCAAATTGGAATTACAGGCATAGCCATATCAGATGTTCTCTCACAGGTGGGCTCAAATTGGTCATCGCAGGAGGTCAAGACCCTTGCAAAGCAAACAGCTCCCACAATTAGAGAGGGAGGGTACCTCACTCTGCATCAGAGGATCTGGGACTCTTGTGTGCCTGAGAGTCACAGCCTTGACTCTGGTGATCATCTCGCTGAGGCCTCCAAAACGTTATGGTGAGATTGCAATAAATCACTAAGTCAATCTCTTTTTTTAAAGGATTTTTTAAATATTATATTTTTTAGTTGTAGTTGGACACAATAACTTTATTTATTTGTTTTTATGTGGCGCTGAGGATCAAACTCAGGGCCTCGCACATGCTAGGTGAGCAATATGCCACTGAGCCACAACCCCAGCCCCAATCACCAAGTCAATCTTAAAAACAGGAGACAGAACCATCTTTATTCACCCAGCTGGTGGGCCAAGGGGCAGGCTGCAAGTCTATACCCTTTGACACCATCTAAGGACTAGAGTACACCTTTATAGTCCAAAACCACATTAATCGTAAGTGGCTATTGCTATGATTCAAAACCATAAACAGGGGCCTGGGGTTGTGGCTCAGTGGTAGAGTGCTCACTTGGCATGTGTAAGGCAGTGGGTTCGATCCTCAGCACCACATAAAAATAAATAAATAAAATAAAGGTATTGTATCCATCTACAACTAAAAAAAAATTTAAAAATCCATAAACAAACATCATGGGATCTAAAATAATAAGCAGAAGGGGAAGTGGGTCAAAACCTCCCTGCTTGAGTACAAGTTAAAAAATGGTTACTAACGTCTAGACAATCATTCTCGGACCAGGGTACATTGTCAAAAAAAAGGGAACCCAAAAGAGAACAATTTTACATTGTATAAGAAGAACAGAACACTTTGCATTTGTAAGCAGGATCAGGATAGCAGTGGTGGAGTTTTCTCATGGGAGAAGCACTTCGTACAAGACATGGAGTCTCAGGGTAAAATGGGGTCTGTTCAGTCATTGGCCACGTAGCCTGGCCCATAACACTACCACCGAGTTACATCCTTAGCCCCTTTTTATTTCTTTCAATCTTTCTTTTTCTTTCTTTCTTTTTCCCCCTCTCTTTCCTTCTTTCTTTCTTTCTTTTTTTTTTAGTTTAAACAACACAAATTTATTATCTTAAACAGCTCTGTAGGTCACAAACCCCTGTGTTTATAGGTCACAAACTCTGGGCTAAAAAATCATGGTATCGTATGTGTCTTCCTTTTTGAAAGTTCTTGGGGAAAACCCATTTCTTTCCTTATTGGCTTTGTGGGCAGAAGTCATTTTCTTGCAGTTGTAGGATTGAGATTTCCACTTTCTTGCTGGCTGCCCGCTGGAAGCCATTCCCAGATTCTAGAGCCCACCCATATTTATTGGTTCATGACCCACATCTTCCATTTTCAAAGCAGCAACTGGTAGATCAAGTCCCTGTCCTTCCTCAAGTCCTTCTTCCTTCCAACTTGTCTCTCTCTCTCTAGCTTGAAAAATTCTCTGTGTTGAAGGACACATATGACTAAAGTCCATCCCTTTTTA